GAGAAAGAAATAAAAGAAACATATAGAAAGGAAAATAAAGATCTGTTGAAAAGGAAAATAAGGAATACATCGAAATGGTGTTAATTTGGTTTATTCGACTTCGAGTAAAATGAAAATTTTATTTCTGGTGATGAAAAATATAGGTCAATATTTATATTTGCAGATTGTTTATCTGTAAAATTGGTACGTGTATATCAAATAAATATTTAGTCAAGAGTTAATTCCATATAAATTTAAGGTACTACGTACGTGCAAGAGAAGCTTCGTGTCCTGTTTAAACTTGTCAATGATAAAGAAAATGGTTTAACAAGTTTATAATAAACCGGAAAATTTTCTGTATGAGTTTTGTTATTTAAATTTAAATATATTAAAACTTGGTTCACCCAGAAATTATTAGACTAAATTTTACTGTGTATAATACCGTTAAATTTAAATGTGATTGACCAATAATATTTCGATATACTGCGCCAGAAGTATAATATTTTTTAAAACGCTAAAACTTTTTAACAATTAGAAAAACTAATCTGTAACTTTATACACAGAATTTGGGCTCTTCTTTTATTCATAAAGTAAAATCACGATTACAAAGAAAATTAAAATTGAACGATATCTAATATTTTTAGCTAAATAAGAATAAAATTCATACTCCATCATAAAAAATCCGCAAATGGCTTATTTATAAAGAACATGACACTTATTTCAGATTAATGACTGATTTTTTATGAATTACTTTATTATATTGGTTGTAGTAAAAGTGGGATCAAATGATTGGTTGTAAAAGTGGGATCAAAAAAGTGGCCGTTTTTTATAAATCAAAAAAACGTTGGTATCAAAAATTATAGAATGAGTAAAATGGCTTCTTTTGTTTACCCTTTCTTTTGAGGCTTTTCGACCTTAATATTGCCTTCTTTTATTTTCACGGACATCAATATCTTCATCATCTGCTTTTCTCTTAGGATTCTGCTTCGAATACTCTTCAGTTATTTCTTTTTGCAATTTTTCAATTCTTTCAATTCTTCGTCTCATGTTCATAAAATTAAGATCAATCGCTATGCTGGAATCAAGATCCGGATCAATCGGTGTCTCATTAATGAGCATATTAGGATGCTTGAAAAGTAAGTTATTACTAACACCAGAAATGCTTAAAACTTTCAGATTCGGATGTTCGTTTAAAACATTAACGATTAATTCGAGCGCTTTATTATTGATGATATTCCGAGTTAAATCAATATGCGTTAAATTCGGACTTTTTTTGATTATTGAAACAAGAACCTTCATGTTATCTTCGTCAATTCGACTAAGGTCCAATTTGATTTCTTCAATGTTACTTGGAAAATGACTAATCTTAAGATGATCAAATATAAAATTAGAATGTGAGATGGAAAGTCGTTTAATTGCGGATTCTTTGGTCAGGAAATAGCCATATAAATCTTTCTCATTTATCTTCTCAACTCTAACACGTTTAAATTCAATATTTGTAATCTTATTTTTGTCAACAATAGATTTTTGAAGGAAACGATATTCGTTATGATCAATTTGACACATTATAAATTTAAGTGATTTCAATGAAGGATGGTTGTTCATCAAATCGTTAATAGCATCTGAGTAATAAAATTCTCCAATATGTGTAAAAACGAGTTCTTCAAGCATTTGTATATTGACTAAATTTAATAAGAATTCTCTGAGATATTCGTGATTGCAATTGTATTTATCTCTGTGCCCGAATATAAGTGTTTTAATAGTGCAATCTTTATGAACTATAAATGGTCTGAGCAAATAGATATCCACGTTAAATGTTATATGAATTTCCTCCATTAAGACTGATTCTTCGAGGAACAATTTGTACAATGCATTTAACAAAAAAAATATTGTCAACTTTTTGGGCATACTTGCTTGAAGAGTATGACACACAAAAGAACACTCCAGTATAAAGATTATCGATTTTTTTTATGTAACGATGATAAGGATATATTGTATTTAGTTGTAGGTCGATGGGACCGACTCTTGGAAGCTTTTTGGTACTTCTATATTTTTTAAGCACCCAAGAAGTGTGTATGCAACGCTTATATCGTCTCCTGGTGGATATCTTCATAATACTTTAACCGCAAACTCCCCCAATTCACTGTTTGTTCTCATCATATTAATTAAAGTGGACACTTCAAGGCACGAAGTTATTTCAAATAATATTTCTTTGGGAAGTTTTAGGATTTGAAAAATATTTGTCATGATTATGTGTCAACGAAAAATTTCCAAACAGTGAATGATTATGTATAAAACAAAAATTGTAAAGGTTTTATACGTACGAGATGTCACATGTAGAGATGTGAACTATAAATTTCACATCTCTACTATAGCATATACAGTTGTAATTTATTCAATATACAGTATAACGTGTACTTTGCTAATACTTTAATTCTGACAGTATAAAAATTACTAATTCTATTTTTATGCTGGTTATACTACATATTAAACAAAATAAGAGATAATTTATTTATCACCCAGGTGAATTTTTCACCTACTTTTTAAAAAACGTTTTTTTGATACTTTAGGGTTAGGAAATATATGTGA